TTCATCTGGTTAAATTTGGTGCCTAGCACATCACATTCATTTTTATCTATAAAGGACAGTAGCAAGGTTCCTTCTGTCTCATCCAGTTGTCAATAAAGCCCCCTCCCTGAGAGGATGTGAATCTGAAGTAATTTTTTTTCCTTACGTAAGTGATCATTTTGTCTGCATGTCTAAATCAAGGTAGAAACAAAGTTGTTTCTGGCTGAGGAAAAAGCCCCTTATTATCCCAGTCAAAGGGCATCTATACCAGGTCCAATTCCTATTTAAAAATAGATTTATTTTTTTACTTCTATTAATAAGGCCGCCTGGATCATTGAGTCAAGCAATTGGTCCTTAATAATAATATATCCTGCACAGTGCTACAGCTGACTATTGTCTTGTTTCAGAAAATGTGATCTGATATACAAGGTATAGCATAAGAGTTCCACACCCTGCTTCTTCAGGTATACTCCCCCTTGATCAATTTTCCTAGACTTCGTTGCATACATCTTTTGTAGCACGACAGACTTTGAGGTCTTATGTCTCCCTTGCTCCCCCACCCTCCTGGGAAAACTAACCAGCATCAAAATATAACTAAAGCAGTACTCTGCTGCACAGGAGTACATTTTGTCAGACGGCGCTCCTATCAATGCATGGACTAATGCTGTCTCTCCTAATAAAAACAGACCTGCAATAAAAAACCCCTGCAGTTCTGAGTGGGAACAGAGGCAATACATACAGAGGCTGATGATGCTTTGAATGGAACAGGGGCATTTTTTATTGTGTGTGCTGATGGGAATAAATCAGGTTGTAGTGATTCAGATTTTGGGATATATATTAGTTATTTAGTAACACAGGTTGGATTTTTTCCCCTAAAACTTTTCAGACATGTGTATGACAGTTGGCTAAATCACTGTTGAGACAAAACTTTTCCTGATCTTTTCAAAACTTCCACAAGACATTTAAAAAAAAAATAAATTAAAAAATCAAGGGCATTAATTTTTAAACAGAAAATATTACTTGCACAAAAGCCTCTGCTTCCTTGTTCAGATCTGACAGTTCTGCTTTCCTAAGTTGCATGGATGCACAACGTAAAACCATGGGGGGAAATTTTTTGGAACTAAAATACCCATATTTAAAAAAAAAACAACCCACAATACTTTTTAACCTTCATTCACAGACTGACAACTAATTTTTCCTAGAGTCTGCTTCACCAAAAATACATGGTTTCTAACCAGGTTTTGAGGGAGGAGCTCTACGATAGGATTAGTGAAGAGGGGTGAACAGCTTCAGCTAACTCCAACTATTCTTGTTGTATTTGTAGTCTCCAAGGAAACAGCTGAGTTGAATGTTAATTAAACAGCATTCTTTGATCCACCCAGCCACTCCCAGAGGCATAATAATAATCATATATAAGTGCACACATCAAATATATAAGGTACATTTCTAAGAATGCATCTAGCTTTGCCATATTCCCAATTAGAACATTTGTTGCTGTCGTGATCCTCTATTATTTAAAACCCAGGGAAGAAAGCTAAATTAAATCTGGATAGTCCATCTGCAAGATAGGGTGACAGAGCAAGCATAAATTCCTTTTTAGAGATGTATAAGGGTTAATGATTAGAAGAGTAGAATCAGGAAAGACCTTAAGCCCAGATCTATGACAGTGGTAATTGAGCTGATTGATTACGACATCTCGTTTCAGACGACTATTGATTTAATCTAGTCTGCATTCCCATTGGCCCCAAAGGTGCTCCCAAGTGAAGCTTCAGCACTTGAACCCGAGCACTCTCCCTACTCACTGTCTGGATATAAATTTACAAAATGTGCAGCCATTTGTAATTTACATTTGTCCCCACGTTTTTACTCAGACACTTCTAATTTCAGCAGGTTTGTGTTTTTAACATTGAGTCAGAGGCAAAGAGAATGGATGGCACAGATTATAGATGGAGGAGTAAAAAAAAAAAAAAAAGATGTGGCTATGTGGCTAGTATTTGCATCTGTTGTTTCTGATTCGCAGAGCTAGCAAAGGCTGCTTTCTGGAGGCAGTCCACAAAGCTGGGCTATCAGTAGGCAGTTTGCTGTACGCGCACGTTCAATTATTAAAATAGTAGACTTTTTTTCTGTCTGATAGCCATAGCGAGGTCATGACATTAATTTATCCAGGGTATTGTGGGTAACTATACAGAAAAAAAGCATAAAGGGCACAGATGCTGGAGCAGCAAAAAATGGATGGGTCTGAGCAAAAGGAGATTAAGAGGCGATGACCAATCTAATGTACGTATAGCAGTAAGAAGCCGGCATCCGTCACAGACTATTGATGGCAATAAGTATTTTAAGCCATGCTGTGCATGTGTTAATTTTTTTTTATACTTCAGTAAATGCTAAACTGAATGCTGTAATCCTGTATTTTTTCAGTTTCCCAAATCTGATTTCAGTCTTGCTTTTGTTGTCTCATGCTTGGCGTTCTTCTCTTGCTCTCTGTCTCTGTCTGTGGGTGTGTGTCTGTCTCTGTGTCTCTCTCTCCCTCCCTGAGATACCAGACTTAACTGTTTCCTAAATGTCTACTTTTTTTTTTTTATTAATTATCATTCTAGTGATTGGTCCTGTGTATGTCTACAAACTGGGCTTAGGATGCATTCCCTTATGGTGTTGCTTCCTTTCTCTAGTAATGGGGTTTATAATTTGTGGGGTTTATGTTTTGTTTTGCTTTTTTTTTTAACTTTTCTGCGAATGGATGCCCTTCACATTTGCTGCCACAGTTATGTTGCCAAACTGCTACCTTAGTTGGTACTGCAGTGTAGCACTGCATGCTGGGATCTGTCTCTGTGGGTAAGCTGGGAATTTCTACAGCACCAGATAGCTTTTAGAATTGGCTTCAGAATTGCGTACCACTCATTCCCCCTTTTGGAAATGATTTTGTTCTGCAAATCATGGTGGCATGGCTTTGTCTGGAAAAATAATTCAGAAATATTGTTCATGGAAAAAAGAAAAGATAGCAAGTTCATTACACTGTATAGCATGGAAGTACTTTCTATTAAGAACAAAGTAACAGAGTACAAACTCATACAATAATTGTGCTTCACAAATTTGTATAGCATGTGATACAACTTTGTCTGCATTTCATATAGCAAAGCTTTGTGTTTTGTTTTATACTGTAGGTATTATATATGTATTGCATATAGGTGTGTGTGTATACATACACACTCGGAAACGTATATGCTATGCTGTATATATATGTTACATATTATTAGTATAGGATACATATTGTGTATGTATATGGACATTATTCACACATAGGTGTCCACTATTTTGTATGTAGGATTGTACATACAGTTTCTGGTCTTTCTCATATAACTCTCTCTTGCACGCACACATGCACATGCGCACACACATGCATGCAGACACACACACACACACACACATGCACTGTTTTTATTGGGGGGTCTAAAATAAGAATGGCTAATGCCCTGTGAGGTGTGGGTTTAAAACTAGAAACTTATGATTTCAACACCATTCTGGTGATTCAGATGCTGCAGTGACTTGGTTAAAACATGGCAATTCCTGCAAACCGAGACACAACTAGTACCAAAAAAGAAAGAAAGAAAGAAAGAAAGAAAAGCAAAAAAAAAAAAAAAAAGCAATAATGTTGATTAATATTAAAATTAGTCATTTGAATTTTTAATATAAAAAAATGGATCCTAAAGGCTTTTGAGAGTTGCTGTGTCCTTTCTGCTCGTATTGATTCAAGGAAAGGAAAAAATGAAGAAGGCGTAGAATAAACTCTAAGACTGTTAAAGAATTGCTGGCATTATTTCTCTCTACATCACGTGTGAGCCTGGGTTGCCTGCTATTCCTGAGGCAGAGGATCGAGGATGAAAGTCTGTGTGTCAGAGCCTGTTTTCACAACTGCATTTGGAGATCTGTCTTATTGATTAGGAAAAAAAGGGGGTGGGAATAGGAGTGTGAGGTGAGGGGAGGACCGACTGACTACTGGCTTATTGCAGCTCAAGACATTTTCTTCCGGAAAGATGTCAAACAACTGAGACACAGCAACAGAGGAAGTAGAAAGGTGGAAAAATAAGAAGAGGGACCCTTTGGAAGAAATGAAGGCATTTCTTATGAGAGCCTTGAGGCTTTTTTTTTTTTCTTCTAACATCTGACCTGCAAGGGCTAGAGTGACAGCGTCATGCAAATGCTGCAGTCCTGCAGGTCTGAGAGAGGGTGGATGCTAGAGAGTGAGTTAATGTTAATGATGAGTGCAGTGAAAATACCAGCCGATACCACCCCCTCCACACACAACCGCTCTGAGTCAGCATCCGCTGCTTTGCCTTGCCTTTTTGTGTGTCTGTGTGCGTGTGCGTGTGTGTGTGTGTGTGTGTGTGTGTGTGTGTATCCGTGTGTCTGCGTGCGTGTGCATGGAAGGTAAAAGCCAGTCAGTCAGTGAGAAGCAAAGGTACGTTTGAGAGCAACTAAAATTCTGACTGATTTCCATCTTCAGAGCATCAGATGTATTCCCTAAGGAGGATGGGTCTATGTGATGGGGGTGGTATAATTATGTTAATGTCATATTTATAGAGGGGAGAGATTTTTCATTCTAATTATTGGCTTGAAAGCTGTGGTCAAAAATTGCTTGTAAAACCATGCTCAGTTTAAAGCAAAGGAATGAAATGAAATCTAGGGAATGCTTGATTTTTTTTTAAATTGTTTTGCTTAACTATTTCATGTCTGAGGCATAACTGATTGAATAGTGCATACAGAATGACAAAAGGAACGCTCTTATATAATGTTGCATTATATCATTGGCCAAAATATTTAAAGTAATCCAAGATGTACTGAAATCCGAGGTAACATTCTGGAGGGGAGGGTGAGGAAGAACAAGGGGCGGGGGGCAATTAGCAGATCTTTTCTTCAGCATAGCTTTCTGTACAGCTTACTTGTAAATGAATGATTCACCTGTTATACTAGAAGAGATTCTAATTTTTTTTCTTTCCCCCACCCTTCTCTTTTTCCATTTAAAGCCGAAGCACTTCTCGAAGAGCACTGAGTTTTCTATACCAGATTCTACTTCAGTGGCCAGGACCTTTATGGCCGCTGATCCTGTTTGGCTCTGGTTCTGATGAGAAAACACCGTGGATCCAGTCCTAAAGTAGAAATTTTCTTTTTTCATTCCGCAAGCAAGGCTAAACCTCGGAGAGGAGAATGAATGTGAATGCAGTTCGAGATTGTGGTCGTGTCATTAAAAGTGTTCGGCTTCCGAGCAAAATGGGAAATCCGATCAGTTGATCTTCCTGTACCAACAATATTTAAAAGTTGTATGTGGTTCGAGTGACCTGGCTCGAGCAACAGCAATCTCTGTATGTCAATATTTTCTGCGGTTTATGGAGTGAAAAGTAGTTGCTGGGTTGGAAAGGAAGAAGCTGCTAATATCAGCCTGTAGAAGGATTAAATGTTGAATATGGGGAAAAGGCAAAAAAAGTAAATATCTGCCTGAAGGCTATCGTGGCACTGAAGATGAGTTTAAAGTGCTGTCTAATCTAGGGCCCACCTTAACAGCAAGACTAAACATATAATGGGGGAATATTTAAATTAGAAACCCATTAACAAGCATTTAATCCTTCTCTAAGGCACTAGAGGAAATAATATAAAACTGTTATTGTACAAATCTATTAGAAGCAGATTTTAACTCTCATTTAGGCTCTTCTTTTTCAAGTATTTAATATAGCTACTCAGGAATCAGGATAGTGAACATTTTTCCTGTACTCTCCCCTTCCTCCCCCCCCCTCCCCCCCCCAGAGTCATGGCATATATTCTAAGAAACATTTTATTAAATCATATAATGTATTGTTTTCACTGTATGTGCATATATTACCTGCTTGTTTGATATTTTCTGCCCCTACTTGGAAATATGTTTAACTTTTTTTAAAATAGCAAGAAAAAAAAGAGTTTTACTGAATGCAATTGTGACGATACAGATTATTCGAAGAAGAATTCTACTGGATCACATTGGACTTTTCCTAGTCCCTGAGACCCTAACTTGTGAGGTTTTTTAGCAACAATCACAAGTCAGGCTCTTGGGACCTAGGCGGAGGGGAACCAGCAGCTTTGGACTTATTGATTGTTTTTCTGCGATATTAAGAGAACCAAAGGAGACATTCCTGTCCAGGGGAATTATTAATTTCATATGTTAAGAACTATTACTAAACAAAAATATTCGTATCCACTGTACACAATAAAGTGGTTTTATGAAGATGCTACATATTTGCATGTTTGGAAACCTGTATGGTACAGGGCATTGTGTAAAATCCGGAATTAAAATTTAAAACAAATGCTAGATATGTACATGAAAAGCCAAGTACTGAAGAATACGTGAAGTATTTCCAACCATGATTCTGCTATTATGGATGATACACATAGATAATTAAGATGAAGCACATGTCCAGTTATACTGCTATAGTATTTGATTTACTCTTTAAATCAGACAATTTGAACAATGATGCATGGGGCCTAGCACACCATACATTCTGGGGTATAGAGATATGAACAGACAAGAAAACTGTTGCTTAGTTTTCCCTGTAATCCAATACAGAGATTCCTTTATAGTTAACTGTCATTACTCTTTGTCTAAGCAAAAGCACAATAGGAAATTATGAAGGGTCACACTTACTTGAAACCACATTTTAATATGATAGAAAATTGATAGGTAGTGTCAAGTTCATAACACACTACTGAAATCACTTGGAACACAAGGCTCTTTACTCTTGATGTTGATGTACTTATTCTAGCTAAACCGTGAAAGCAGTATGCCATTTATTGGGTTCAACATCTAGTCTCTTCCCTCACTTTTCACCTTTATTCAGTTATAGAAACAGAATGACTTTTATGTTGTCCCCAGATGCAAAATACTTCAGTGCCCTAAGTACACAAAGATTTGGAAGGACAAGATACTTTGTAACATTTATCAATGCTTCGAAGTGCTGAAGTATTAAACAGAGAATTTAACTGTACTTCTTAATATTTTATCTGTAGTTTAGTTATGATGAATCACTTCTTGTTTCCTGTATCTACCCCAACATGCTGCAGCACCTTGAAGATGGTGTGCTAATATCAAACCTCATCGATTAAAACAAAGGCTTTACACAGCACAAGCATCTAAACAATTTGTTCATTTCAAAAGCAGTATTTTGGCTTGAGTTAATTTTTTTTCCACACATGTAGGAGGAATTGTGCGTTATTGTAAGTGTCAACCCTTTGTTAAAATAAATTATTCTTATGCGTTAGCATAATTTGTGTTTTTGTTGTCCTGTTTTCTAAAAAGACAGAAACAATGCACTATATAGTTTCCAATCAATTTGCTCAGCCTACAGTTAAAGCTTTACTTCAAATAATCACAAAGAATTTCCTTACCTATCTGAAAGATGACACAGCTCCTGATCATGACTAAACTATTCTTTTCTTCATAAAACCCTCAATCCCACCTGCTCAGGTCACTCAAGAGTTATTTGGAAATACTTCATCCATCTCAGACATACTAGTACTTCTTTTCAACAAAGACATGCTGTCTTCTATTGGTTTCTATTTATGTAATCTGAGAGGAGAATATCTAAATCTGTGTTTGCAAAACTAAAATATCAAACTAGTGTGATGCATTGATGAAGCACTTTGGTAGCAACTGGCTTACATTTTGCATTACAGCTGCTATCATTTTTTTATAAAGACAGTATTGATTTGCAAATATATCTAGGTTTTGATCTTGTGAATATATATTTTACCTATATGAATTACCTCATAAAACATAAGTATACTGTGTGTATGCACACACTGATATATAATACTTATGTTATCTAAATGTTGCTATACACTTTTCAAAATAAAATTCCTGATGTTAATTTATTTAGCAGGTAATTTTTGCTCATGCATACACATATTAAGAATTTTTAGAGCATTTATTTTTGTGTCACAAGAATGATCTTGAGCACAATAAGTTCATACTTGAAACAGAGTAATTCATTGTGCAATTCTTCTCCCATGTAAAAGGAGACATTAGACACTGCATTTTTACCTACCCCAGTCATGACCTGACAATATAAAGGTACCAAATATTTTCCCTTGTGCAATGAGATTAAAAATGCATCCAGGAAGATCCTGACTTGACTCAGTTGATGTCACAACAAAACCATGAATACAATGGCATGGGACACAATACTGGCTCTGCATTTAGGGCTTTAACTGAGGTAGTATAGTGGATATTCTGTGCCACCACTGCCCCTTGGAAAATGAGAGAAAAAGTTGGAGTACATCATCCCTTCACAGCCTCTCCCCCATACCTTTAATTAACCCAGTTCAAGCACTGCAAAACCAAGCACTGGAGTGGATTAAACCCTTTATGAAAATATATTTTCCAGTTTTACCTGGGGCAGAAATCCTACTGAGGTCAATGAAGCTTTTGCCCATGTCAGGACCCCAGGACTAAGTCCCCAGACACTCTGTAGAATGAAATTTTATTTATATTTTAATAGCATGTGAGAGTATTTATTAGCTGATTGGCAGCCTATATCTTTGGTATTTATAATTTTATATATAACAATCTATCTATACTTACAAATGCATGTATAATATACATAAATTCATTTTCTGTTGCAGTATAATATTTGTATATGCTGTATAATATGTGATTGGGGGGTAATCAGCTCAAGCTACAGTTAGGGAAAAAACAACAAAACCTCTAGCAACAGAGAGAGAGAGAGAGAGAGAGAAAGAAAATGATGTGTGGTGCATACAAAAAAGGAGTGATATTAACAATTCGATGAATTCCTAGTTGGTAGACCAGACTGAGCCAGACGCATATATTAGCGGCTGTCTGCTGCTGATGTGAGCCTGCTCAATGCGGTGGAAATGAAGGATCACCTAGTCTCTGACACCAGCTTATTTGTACGTTTTAATTTTAAAAAGGAAAATCACTGTTTTACATAAACATCTTAACCCCTGCATGATTTTCTCTTCCCCCCCACCCCATATTGTTTGCTAATTTACTGTCAACTTAAAGTGCTGTTTAGCTATAGCCCAACAAAGCATCAGTCAAAAGCAGGGGGGAAGTACTTCTCTTTTGTCTGTCATGTACAATTGGGTTATTATCATGATAATCAACTATTTTAACTTTTAATCTTCATAGGGGACACATCAATTTTTCAAAAAGTCATTTTAAAGCATTTTTCCACTTCAACAAAGACAACTCTCTTAAATGTATACCAAAAATAAAATGTGTTTACACTTCACGCTATGGGTGATTTGGTCACTACCTTTCATTAACCTGGATGTCCTTAACACCTTAATATAATATTACATCTACAGGGCAGGATTCCTTTTCTAACCTTATAAACATCATGATCCATTAATGCTGTCTAGAAGAATGTTACATGAGTCAGGGGAATTCCAATCCAAGTTAATTACTGTTGGAATTAGAGAAAAGGAAATTCTACCTTAAGTTGAGTTACAGGAATCTGCAATTACTACATTTCAGGGGATATTTCCATTCATTTGATGAAATATGTCAATGAAGTGTAACAGCAGCTTTTATACATTTACATGAGTAATGAATATCGGCACATTAATGGTTACCTAACAACATTGTTCACCATTTTAATATGCAGTGCAGCAAAAAATTCTGTTGAAAGTAAATGCAGCCATCATTTTGATTTGCCCATATGATGATTATATTCAGATCCTGACTGGGTATTTAATTTAGCACTAAAAAGCAGGCATCTCCTTTTAGGAACTAGTCATAGCCCTAAAAGGAGGCCAGCTTTCCAAGGTCAATATACGTGTGTGTGTGTGTGTGAGATTTATGAAAAATCTCTTGACGTTACACACATTTTTATTTGTTTAAAGGGGCAAGTGTTCATTCAAAAGCTAGGATCTCATATATAGTATCATCTAAATTGTATCAGTCAGTGACTAAGTAGATATAGGGACTATATTAATTTTGACATATATATTCATTTAAAATACATTCGTCTAAACAACACATCTTTGGTGGGTTATTGGTTGGCAAAATGTTTTATTGTTTAGTGTTTATAATGAGGTGTCTTCAGTTTTTAGTGAATGCTGTATCATTTCATTCCTCTAGCACTAGATTCATCTTTTTCAGGTGAAGTACATTAATCTAATAATATTAATTTGTATGTAAAACTACATTTTCCTCACTGTGAATGGGGAACAGGTGGAATATGGAGGCTACTGAGACAAAGTAAACCTAAATTTGCCTAAAACAACACTGATAAAATTATTTCACCTTTATAAGAATTTTTAACCTGACAAAGTAGTATTTAAGATTAATCACAGAAGTTTATCTCATAGGCTTTCAGGAGTTCCATCTTTTTTCTTGTTCCTGTTTCTTTAGGAATTAAGGATTAGTTTGTAATTGTGTGATAAATTAGATAAAAATAATGATGGTTTTAACAATACAAGTATCCTGTGGGAGAAAAAAAATATTTTTAAAATTTTTCCTTGTTAGCAGTCATAAAGGACTGTGATTCTTTGCAAGGAATGTGTGTACACACGCACACACTTTCTCTCTTTGCAAAGAATCACAAAATATGTATATATGTTTAATGGAAAACAAGTCAACATTGTTCGGTTCTATTTAGTTCTTTCATTTTTTAGATTAGTTTATATGCTTAAATGGGAAAGTGGAGGGGGATGAAACAATTATTTTGCAGAGACATGGCCCACCACTTTAAGCTTTTCTTGGACTGTGTAAAAATACTGACAATGTGTAAATCTCATTTGGGGGTTTTACTTTAGCAGATTTCCAAGTATTATATTAAAATATTTCAGTGATGGATACATATGAAAATAGTTGCACTAGTAAGTAACTGGATGTTGAAAGGGTTGGATGGCATTGGCACAAAGAGCCAATCGGATTTTTTTTCTTCTTCATTTAATTCCATTCACCTAGTAGGCTCCCTAAACATTAGGCAAAACCCAGTATGTGGCTAAGTTATTGCTCTAGTGTTCATCACACAAAAAGCACAGTCTTAGCATTTATAAGTTTTCTTCAGGGAGGTTTCTAATCTAGACAGCATTTGCGTTTGGGGATTACACCACAATCTGTTCCCCACCTCCTCCCCCTCTCACATGTAGCCCTTTCAACTTCTTCAAAGAAGTGGAAAAAAGTAGGTTCTTTTATTAATAGCAGAAAACAAACCGACTGCTGGACTTCCGTGGCAGAGCTCACATAATGCACCAGTGTGGGAACTGTAACAAAGAATCCTTGAATGCACTAAACATATAGTGAAGCCCCATTTAAATTCACTGGTGGAGCTTAGAGTACAATAAGTGGAAAGTTTAAAGTAGAAATTAACCATGAGCATAAAAGGAAACCGTACTTTTGTGAAGGTAGATACTTCCTTGAAAAGACTGGTTCAGAAATGTAAGTTTCAAGCTGTAGTACCTCCTAACAGAATGCACTTCTAAAATATATTCCTTAACCCAAAATATCACCATATATATTATATTAGGTGAATGTAATTTCTCATGTGCCTAAGAGTAATTCTGTTCACCTAATGTATATGTTGTTTTTTTTTTATACTAGTTTGGTAGTTATCAATGGAAAATACTTCTTAGATCCCAATCTGTCCTTTCCCCAGGGGGAGGATATAGTATCTCAAGAAACCCCTCTCATATGAGGGAAATTTCTGTGCGTCTAGAAGAAAGTTTGAATATGGCATCCCTTAAGGTTTCCAATCTGTTTGTTTGGCTTTCTGGTATATTTTTTACACACACACACACACACACACACACCCTATTCTATAAAGGATGCTGAAAACATAGTTTTGCTAAAGGAAGAACTGGGTGAATTGTTCACCATTTTCTATTAACAGATGTCTGAAATCGAAATGCAATATTAACAGTTAGAGGCTCTTATACTCAGTATCAGAGTTGAAGCCTGTGTCTTTGTCTTCATCTATTAAGCTTTCTTCTTTTTCTAACAGCAACAACCTACTCTTTTATTGTCATCATTTCCTCAGCCTCAATATAATAAAGTCCCATCTACAGTCACCACTGTAAAGCACTATTTAATACCACCTTCTTTCTCCCACCAGTTGATTCAACCCCTGCCTCCTGCTGCTACTAAAATGGCTACTTTGGCCCATGCCAGTTCTTTCACCCTCTGAGTGTGAGTTCATAGATAATATTGCTTCCTACCCCTTATTTTGCTACCTAAGTAACAGGGTCAGAAACTGGGATCTTGTGTCAGGAGTGTCAAGCACCTATATCATCAGAAACACTGGGCAAGAAGAACATGTTCCAAAGAAACTTTCTAACCTGCTTTTACCTCTTCAAATACTGTCACATTACAGTCTCTCCATCTCCTGCAACATCCTTAGTAAACAGACAATTCCAAAGGGTTATTTACTAGTTTGCTAGTTTCATTTTTCATAAGATTTAAAATAAAGCAGCTAAGGTTGCTTTAAGAATAGTGGCAGCCTTGGACATTGGATATTCCCAAAAAGAGAATATGTGGAATATAAATCTCAATGCCTAGGTGATAATCAGGGAGCCTGGTTTTCTCTTATTTAAAAAATCCCCAATTCTTAATCATGGAAATGTGGATTTGAGGTTACTTTTTGTTAATCGAAAATTGGGGATTTTTTTTTTAAATCAGAGAAAACCAGAATCCCCGGTGATAGGATTATTCTGATGTCACGCTGCTTTTAAGCATACTTGCTACTGTAGACAACCTTGAATTGAATCAAATATTTTAAATTAACTGCATTGTTTTTAAACCAAATGGTTTCATTATAATAAAGTGTAGGTTTGTCATTCCTAGAAACTCAAAGACTTTAGCTTTAAGAGCATGAAGGCCTGCTACTTACATATCTTCTTGACGCAAATCATTTGCATAGCACTTCAGGTGGGTGAACAGGTTCCTTATGCCTAAGCTATATGCTGTGTTATACAGTACTTGCCACGCTCAAGTATGACTTACTTGGTCTGTGTAGTAAAGAAACTGGGAATATTGAAGGATGTATCTCCATCAAGTCAGCAAGTCAGATGTGCAAAATGGCTGCTCACAGCCATTTTGTGGTCAGAGTTATAGTATCTAACTCCTAGGGTAGGAATAATTAGTTTTACAATAATGTCTCTAATAAGATTGCTCAAAACTGTGACGACGTAATAGGTCTATAGCCTATGTCTATACAACTATATCGACAATACAGGTGCCCATTCAGTAATTTAGGTGGACCATTTCAATTTTTAAAAAATCTAGGAAATAAATATTTTAAGTTCATCACACAAATGTTATATCTGGGGTGTAACAGCATAGTTATGTACTTTTCTCCTAAAAGGCAGGATTAAGAGCATGCTATATTTACCTATTAAAAGTTAGCAGGGTATGAAGCACCATATAAGATTTTGCTTAAAAAAGGAAAGGTTACCAAGGCAACCTTAGTAACCTGTCCCAATCAGCCCAATGGAATAAGTTTTTGACTGACTGTTGCAGTTATCTGAGGGGTGGGGAAAGAGTGGGGGTAGCTTTTGTTTGTTAATAGAAACTCAAGGTTGTAGGTTGCCTTTCTAGTATTTGATTATTATTTTTAAATGTAAAGGGAAAATCAGAATCACCAAGGTTAATGGATACAACTTTAAGAGCAATATAAATATTTACAAATAAGGCTATATTTGTTCTACTTCTTTGTACAAGCTCCACATATGTATCTGTATTGGAGAAAATAAAACTGCATGCAGAAGGGGAGTGAACATTAACCCATACATAAGCAATCTTTCCAAAGCATACTGGCTCTTTCCCACTGTCCATGCATATTCTATCAATGCAATGGTTTATTGTTTGTGCAGCAAAAAGCTGAGCTTGTAGTGAAGAGAACTGATTGTGGCTCGGGGGATTTGGATTCACATTTTAGTTCTGCCACAGATTTTCTCTGAGAACTTGAGCAAGTCATTTACTATCTCCATTCCTCACTCAATGGAAGGCACATAAGCTTAGTATGTGTATATGTAAAGTGACTAGCATGGTGGAGCCCAGTTTTCAGACTGAGCCTCTGAGAGGTACTGTAATGTAAGTAACAGTCATTCACTGATCAGAGCAATGTCATGGTTTATTACGGTACCCTGTGCAGACTGTTGTATACAAGTTGGTAATAAGCTCAATACTTCTGAATTTCAAGATTATACCCAAAGGGAGCTCGGTCTCCCAGACCATACCGTCTTGAGTGATGCCTCAAGATGGTTCCATTATCACAA